TGACAAAATATGAGACATGACTATAATTTATAAAGTATCAAGGGTTCGTGAGGGAGGGGGGAGCGGAGAGAGAGGGGGGAAATGAGGAGCTGATCCCAAGGGTTGATGTAGAAAGCAAATGTTTTGAGAATAATGATGGCAACGAATGTACAAGTGTGGTTGACACCATGGATGTAGGTATGGATTGTGATATGAGTTGTATGAGCCCCCAGTAAAATGCTTTAAAAAAGAAAAGACAGAGGCATCGGAAACATTGAGTCAAATGGACGATGGACCACAAAACATCAGCCTTCATGAGCCTGAGCCCAGAAGCACGAGGCCGTGTCCAGCCATGACTACCTACTGCTCTGCAAAGGGTCATGTTTGAAGGTCCTGCATGCAGTGGGAGAAAACTATGGGGGAAAATCAAAATCATAAAGGAGACCAGGCTTACTGGTCAGAAAGACTAATGGAGCCCTGGTGATGATGGCCCTTCGTCACTAAATTATCAGCTAATTAAGATCCAGAAGGCAGCATTTATCTAAGAGCAAAGTACAGAGGATTAGGATAGGAGGCGGACTTGAAATGGAGAACACGGGGAGGAAGTAGGATCAATGATGGTGCACTGAGGGGATTGCGATGGATGAGTTGAAGCAAAGCCATGAACTGTTGAATGTAAACCTGATCATCTGCTGCTCTGTAAACCTTCACTTCGTTCACAATAAAAAGTCAAAGTTCTTTTAAAAAATCATTATTTTATTGTGGGCTCTTATAGCTCTTATCACAATTCATCCATCCACCCATCCATTGTGTCAAGCACATTTGTACATCTTTGTACATCATTTTCAAACCATTTTCTTTCTACTTGAGCCCTTGGGATCAGCTCATTTTCTCCACTCCCTCATGAACTCTTGATCATTCATAAATTATTATTTTTTCATGTCTTACACTGACCACTGTCTCCCTTCACCCACTTTTTTGTTGTCTGTCCCGGGGTGGGGTGTTATATGTCTATCATTGTGATCAGTTCCCCCTTTCTCTCCCCACCTTACCCTTACCCTCATGGTATTACTACTTTCATTAATGGTCCTGAGGAGTTTATCTGTGCTGGATTCCCTGTTTCCAGCTCTTATCTGTACCCATGTACATACTTTGGTTTAGCCAGATTTTCAAGGTAGAATTGGGTTCATGATAGCGGCGGGGGGTGGGGTGGGGGGGGGTGGAGCATTAAAGAACTACAGGAAAGTTGTAAGTTTCCTCGGTGCTATACTGCACCCTGACTGGCTCGTCTCTTACTTTACTTGTGACCCCTCTGTGAGGGGATGTCCAATTGTCTACAGCTTTGGGTCTCCACTCTGCACACACCCCTCATTCGCATCAATACGATTTTTTGTTTTGGGTCTTTGATGCCAGATCCCTGATCCCTTCAACACCTCATGATCACACAAGCTGGAGTGTTTCTTCTATGTGGGCTTTGTTGTTTCTCAACTAGATGGCCGCTTGTATATCTTCAAGCCTTTAAGACCCCAGACACTATATCTTTTAACAGCCAGGCACCATCTGTTTTCTTCACCACATTTGCTTATGTACCCATTTTGTCTTCAGCGATCATGTCAGGGAAGGTGAGTGCCACAGAATGCTTCGTTATTAGAACAAAGTGCTCTTGAGCTGAGGGAGCACTTGAATGGAGGCCCAATGTCTGTCTGCTGCCTTAATACTTAACAAATAAATATATGTACGTAGCTCTATTTCCCAACTGTTACATATAAGTGTATTTGCACATGTACATGCCTGTATTTACACCTCTGTAAATGCCCTTTGTCTCCTAGTTCTTTCCTCTGTTTCCTTTTCCTTTCCCCTTGTCCCACTATCATGTTCGGCCTTCATTGGAGTTTCAGTAATTCCTCTCGGCTACATTGCGCTTGATCAATCACCATCGATTTTGGGTCACTTGTTGTTCCCTTGTCCCTGGGTTTGTTGTCCCCCTTCCTTTATCCTGCCTCCTCCTCTCCCATCTCCCCCCAGAAACCGTCGGTCCTGTTGGTTTCTCCTCCTGATTTTATCCCACCTATCGTATCTAGATAGACATGCAGAGACAATAATGAGCACAAAAATAAGACAATGCAAAACATAACAACAAAAGAAAACAAAAAACACAACAGCAACAAAACAACAGCAAAAGAAGAAAAGTCTATAAATAGTTCCAGGTCTGTCTGTTGACATTTAGGAGTGTTTTTAGGTCAAGTCTGATGGGGTGCCACGCCCTAGCTCCAAAGTCTATATTTGGGATTCCTCAGGGCCTTCATTGCTTTGCTCCCCTTGCTCCTCTGTTGCCCACCCTTAGTGTTTCACCCCAGTGTGTTGGGGTCAGATCGGGCACAATTCCCACACTGTGTCTCCAGTGTTGTCCCCTGTAGCTCTATGGGTCAATGAGGAACGTCGTGTCTCGTGGTGGGGCCAGCCCTATGGTCCTTTCTGTACATTGGCTGCTCTGAGCTGGGATATCATCCTTGGGGCTTGGTGGGCCAGGAAGTTTTCCACTTTCTCTCCTTCCCTCTTCATTTGCTCCTTATAAGAAGGGCCCTCTCCCTGAGCTGCAGCTTCAATGCTGTCCCCTGAAGTTCATTTTTCGGGGGGAGGGAAGTGGGGAGTGGGGGGTCAAATAAAAAAATTAAAGTCACTCTCTCACCCCGTTTCATTAAAAAGAATAGCTTAAATATTTACTGATATGGAGAAAGGTAAATACAATAGGGGTGAGTATGTAGGCAGGGATGCAAGGTTATAGTTGTGGCGAGAGGGCTGGGGACTGCAGAACAGAGTGGAAAACAGGCTGGTTGAAATAACAGAATGGCGTCGATGACAGAATGAACCACAGAATATTTCAGAAGATGGGGTTCTGATGAAAACTGAAACTGACTCAGTGAAACCAGCATTCAGCAGAAAAGACTGAGGTTGGCTTGCAAAGAGTGATATTTTAACTTGGTGCCTATGTGTCATCTTGTTTGTGAGAGTGTATCTAGGCTGGTATTGAAATTCAGATACACTTAGTCTAGGAACCCATAATCTCTGACACAGAGGCTTGAAAGGAGAGCTACTCTCCTTTGCCCATTTGCACACTGCTGAGAGGTGAAATATCAGAATGCTGGGCAGAAGCTAGCTACCTGCCTGGTCTGAACCAGCTGCATTACCTTGGACAAGTCACTCAATCTCTCTACACTTCAATGTTCTCTTCTGTAAAATGAGGTTAACAATACTTTCCTCATAGCATTGTTTAAGGATTAAATCTGACAACATTGTAAAATTCAGCACGGTGCTTGTTCCTAGGGTAGCCAAAATAAAATGATAAGGTAGTATTTGAAGTCATGAAACTGGTTTCAAGACTGGAAAGTAGCTGATCCTGGTCAGCCCAAGGTCATTAATTCAGGGAAGAGGCAGTTACTGAGGGGCTGGGAGGAGGGGAGGATGGCTGGGAAATGGTCTGAAGAGAGTTAGCAGTCTGATTGCTCAACCTGGCAGTGGGGTGCACACTTCCTGTTTTCAGTGTCTCTGAGGCCTGATGCTGGAGCAGCTCAAGTTTGAACAAGATCTTTCTTGGGCCCTGGGGGAGAATGCAGAAACGAAGCAGCCACTCAGCCTGGGCTGGGTCCTTAGCTTCATATCATTTCTCTCCTAGCAAGTTCTGACTCTCATAAAACACATCAACGCAAGATTGAGTCAAGAAGAAGGGAGGAAGTGCCCAGTCAGTCTATACAAGAATTACAGAGCTTTGGGATAGCCGCCATTTTCCTGCCTTTACTGGATGTCAGAATTATACTAAGAGAATTTGAAACTACCCTGGGAGGTAGATAGATCTTTTTTCACAAATAAGAAAAGTGAAGCAAAGAGAGGCTATGTGTCATTCCTAAATCACACAACTATTGTTAGAGCCAAGATTCTAGTCCAGGCTGTCTGATTCCAAAATGCATGCTCTCAATCTCTTCTCACACTGCCTAAGGCAACAGGTTGGGTTACCAGCATTTAAAATAGGAGTACCCCTCGGGACCCACGTCCTGAACCCCACTCAGAAAACAATGGCTGTTCATGCGCATAAGGGATACTGACCATATCCTTCACACGTTCCAACCCCAAAGGCTCTCCCTCAGGGCAACATATCAGAAACATTTGGGGACCTTTTTTAACATCAGGAATCCTGGTACCAGTACTGATCTTCTGAATCACAATCTCTTCAGGTGCGAGCTATATATATATTTCATTTACTTGAAACCTGGCAGGTCAATACGAGTATTATTTTATGTAGTCAAGAAATTGACTAGTAAAGTGGCCAAGTTGCTTAGAATAATAAGATTTCTCAGGTGATCTGGTTAAGGCATACTGCCAAAAAACCACATTAACCCAACGTAGAAATTCAAACATTTTGGCAATCCCATATATCCCCGCTTGTCTTCCCCACCCTAGTTCTTCAGCGTCCGATGCTTGGTTCACTGGACATGGTCATTGCATTAGGGTATCCCCTCGCTTTAAACTCTGAGCCCCTGAAGGCAGCGATAGCACTGGCTAGTCACGAGCTCTATTACCACACCGAGCACGCGCAGCCCCACTTGCAGGCACAGGTGACGGGAACTTTTGGTTTTTTTGTTTCTTTTGCTCTGAATGCCACAGACTCACTCAAGCTGAGCTGAGTTCTTAGCCATTTCACTCACGGAGGCTCTCGCCTTAGTTAAGGTCAGTTAAAGGTCAGTGGGGGAAAAATACAGGTTAGGAGTGACTTTGCGTTTGGATTCCAGCAGGGACCGCACAAAGAAATCAGACCAAGGAGGCGATTGTGGACACCTGGCTTGGGTCACATTTTAGTGCTTTAGGTGCCCTATAACCCTCCTCACCTCCACTTCCCAAAGTCCCATGAAGTCCCCATATATCAACTCATAAGAAATGCTGGAGTGCCTGCTACCATGGCAATTTTTTTTACTTTTTGAAGGCTCCCTAACTCAATCCCACACAAACACTAGGGGAGAGCCAAAGTCTTCAGAAAAATCATTTTTATTGATCATCTTTCATTCAAAATTACAAAAATAGATATCAATTTAAATAGTAGAATATAATCATTAAATATTCAGTGTACAGGCGCGGTCCTCCCCCACCCAGTGAGCACTGGGTGAACTGGGCTGGAAGGTCAGATGCGCTAACTGGCCCAGGAAGGGTCATCACCATGAAAGTGGCACGGAGTCAGTTTGTGCTGCCCGCAGGTTTGTGGCCCAGAGCGATACATTCACTGGCTTCACCCAACGTGAGAGCCAAGGGACTCAGGGAGTGGCCCACGAGCCTGACCGCTCCAGGCACTCTGTGTAACAGGACGGTCCTTGCACAGTAGGAAAATGTAATCAGACACAGGGACACACTGGCAGTTCCTCACAGAGATGCAGCCTGTAGACAGGTGCTCAACCCATACACATACAGTATTTTCCGACACATTCATGAGATGCCTGAGCTCTTCCCCCAATTCACTAGTGTCTCTACTCCGCAAACTGTGGTTCCCACATTGGCCAACCTCCCTCAAGAGACCTCAGCTCTGCTACACTTCCTAATTGGGAAATTACTCATTTCCCAACAGCATGTCTCATGAATGCTCACTGTTGAGGGAGCTGGCTCTCTTTCCACCTATGTATAAGAGATGTTATTTTGAACTCCAGGAGTTTTCCATCCAGAAAAAGGCATATAACTGAGTAATATTTTCCTGAATCAGGACCACCCTTCCATCCTGGCCATGGGTGCCTGGGCAGCCAGGACCAGGCCTGCATCTGAGGGTAAGGCTATTGTTGCTCACCCTGGCAGGCAGCACATGCAAAACCCATCTCTGCAGAGCTCGTTGCCTCCAGTCTCTTCCTTGTAGCTGGTGGAGTTGGCTGTGCTGCAAAAATGATGCTCGGCATGGAAGTGGGCAGGGCCCATTTCCTCCTTCGGCTCCCTGGGGTCCTCACCGGACTAGGCCATTCTCCTCTTCTCCAATGTGAGTGCGGATCCAGGGCAGGAACTGAGAGACCCTTGTATAAACGCCTGGCTTGTACTTCTGGGCGCACTCACGGCCCCAGCTCACAATCCCAGACAGTGTCAGTTGGCCTTTAATAGAGCAGACCAGGGGCCCCCCTGAGTCTCCCTGTGAAGAAGTCAAAATGCAAAGGATGAGCCCTGGAAGTACTGGGGGAATAGGAAAGGGAGCCTTCTGATTCTACCACTCAGCCATGTCTGAGTCAAAGTCTCTCTTGATTCCCCATTTTCTATGTCATTAAGCTTACAACTTTCTCAAAATCAGTTACCTGCTACTCTTCCATCTCTGCTCCCAGACATGGCTTCTCCTCCCCATCCTGGTATATTCTTTGAGCTCTCACGAAACTATCTTTCACTTGACCCACCCTCCTGTCTTCCCTCTGCCTCCTCAAATCCCATTCAGATTTGTTCTCTTCAAAGGCTCCCTTCCATGCCCACGTACCACTCAAATATATGACTATTCCCATTTCATACCATACCCTCAATATTATCTTCTATTGTTTCTTCTTTCTGTAGTCATATTCCCCACCCAATCGGAAATGGCCAGATCAGAGTCAGGTGCATGGCAAGATTTTTGTAAACGCATCAGATATGGTTTAAAACCACCAAACATGGGATTCTTGCTTCTTGGAACTTTGGCTGGAGGCTCCCCCAAAGCTTTCAGGGGCATGTGCAGGAGCCCCAGGGAGGTTTGAGGGTGATGGACAGAGCTGCTTGGGACTCTCACCTGACAGGAATCTGTTTCCCACTGTGAGCCAGCAGCACACAGCATTTTGGTGGTAACTTCGGAGCCATAGTAGTGGGGCTGCTGGCAATCCTGGTAGGAAATCAGCTTCACCGTGGTCCTTTTCAGCTTCTCTGCAAAGATATAGTCAGCTGGGGGGCAAAAAAAGATATAGTCAGCTAGATGGAGGAAACATGGAAAAGTTTGGGTTAAGAAATATCTGTCCAAAAAATATATATCTGTTCAGCCTTTCCACGAGGACTCTCTTGCTGAGAGAGGACAGAAATTGTCCCCACCAGAGAAAGTCTTAACCCTTCCCAACCAAAATCTAAGCTTTTACCTGGCCTACAGTCCTCCTCCCGCCAGTTTCCCTGTACAGCCCAGGGAAACCATCTCTATGGTGCTCCCATTTCTCTCTCCACAGTGCTCCCTTGGCCAAGCTGTACTCTCTTCCTAGTTCACAACCCTTCCCAAGAAGCCCGTGGCCAGCCTCAAACATTACTTACTGTAATTCTCTTTCCCAAAGCCAGTGATCTCACAGCTTTCACCGAAATGGGCATCACCGTACTGTGGGGGCAGACAGATGGTCTGTATGGTCCGAGATGGCTGTGCACACTGGTTCCTATTAGAACGGATCTTCAGCAAGGCTGAAAGGTGAGGCAGGTATGGGATCAGAGAGGAAAGATCATCACCTGGTCAGGTGGCCACCATCTTTCCCCGCTCAATGTTGAGGAAGCCCTGTGTTTACCCCTAGATCAGTGATAGTCAGAGGTTAGCCTACGAAGTCTAATGATAGCTCATCACCTGGAACCTGCCCAAAGGCTTCCTCCCAGCTGCTAACCAAGTGATTGGCAGCCAGGACTGCTATACACAGTTATGCAGGTTGGTTCCTACAAAACGACCCCGCTGAGGCCCCAGAAATGGAATCCAGCTCAATGCTTTATCGCCAACTTCTACCTCCAGCAGATGCAGGGGCATCATTGTCTAATTTTCACACACAAGGCATTCTCAATCCAAGTGATATGCTTCTGGGGGATGGGAAAGGACGCTATTTCCACCCAGAGGAAGGCTATCTGTCCAGGAAATACAGGAACTCTATAGAGGAGCATCAGGGCCATCATAGGTTGACTCTGAGCCCTTCCCCCACCATCCTTTTGTTGGGTAAAGTAGGGCCTTCACTTCCCCCCACATCTTCCACCACCCACTGGGGTCTTTTCCTGGGTCCCCTCTTCTGCATTCATTCTCATGACATCATTTAGGGATTTTCCACTCACCAATATCGTTGTGGTGAGCAAGTGTCTCGGAGCTATAATCTTCATGCAAGATCAGCTCCTCTACTTCAAACTTCATCTCCCCAGGCGTACTGGAATGAAGCCTTGACCGGCCCAGGTACACGAGGTAGCTGTCCTTTTTTGGATCATCCCTGTGGGCAGGGAGCCATGTCAGACCGCCTAGCCTCCTAAAATCCTGTCACTTCCCTCTTCCTACCACAGAGACCCCAAGACCATGGGCTCCTGCAGAGGAACTGGAGGGGGAGAACTGATGTGGAATAATTGGCTGGGAAGCAGAGAGAGCTGTGTTTAGGAAAAGGCAGCAGGGCCCATAAGGAGACCTGGAGGAACTTACAGGAAGCAGTGTGTAGCGCTGACCACCCAGCAAGGATTGATAAGGCTGCCGCCACACAGGAAAGTAACCGAGCCTCCCCGGTGCTTCTTGTAGATTGCCGCAAACCACGGTTGGTCCTCAATGTTTATGAAGTCTCCTCCAACTATCTTAAAGCGGGGCCTCAGTGCCTTCTGACCACACTGAAACGCTGATTTTCCTGTAGGAGGAAAGGGTAGATGTCTTGAGGAAACAAATCAGATAGATATAGCAGTCTCATCCTCTGACCTCTGGCTTCTTCAGGGTCAGGTAAGCCTCCTCTTCACCCCCTCTGTGATGTACTGAGGGGAGATGGGGAAGCATTGTCCCCTTGTCCCCACGGTCATGAGCAGGTCAATGACACTCACCCACAGAACAGTCATGCACCAGACACTCTTGGATAAGCGGGATTAGGCCAACCTGCACATAGCACCAAGGTCGCTTCTGGTTGTTTGGGTTTCTGGCAACACAGAGGGGTGAGAAATGTCATTCCAACCCAGAGTGCTTTTCTTGCTTCCTTCTCTCTAGGGAACACTCAACCAGGGGCCTTGCTTTGCTCACGCCATGGCCAGGCCTCTGGGAGCCGAGGAGGGTAGTCATAAGATTTGCGTGAGTTCGAGAAGAGAGCTTCTGGTCCTACTGTCATCCCCTTACCTGCAGTAATTGTGTTTCCCCAGGCCTAGCTGAAGAGCATCTACTCTGTTGGCATTGTATGGTTTCTGGAGGACAGACGGAGAGTTCCAGGCCAGGCAGGGACGGCCCCGAGTGTCCATGTTGGCCTTCCCACGGTAAGAGTGACCATTCCCTTGGTAGCAGGTTTTCAAAGTATCTATATGGGAAGATGTGAAGATGAGAGACAATTAGAGGAAGAAGTTCAAATGCCGGCAGTTAAAATCTGCTTGGCCCCATATGATTTTGGGTCAGATGGAAAATACTATAAGGTTCTCCGACTATCCTCACCTCTCATGTGTGCAACCAATGTTTGCAGAGAAGGTGAGTATACGTATGTTTGACCATGTATATCAAATAGGCATAGAGATGCTCCACCCCAGCTCCTAACTCCTACCTGCTCTTATATACCACCCATCTGCCCCTACCCCCAAATCCCTGATGCTGCCTCCCCAGCTTGAGTTAGGACCCCCATACCTATTTCACAGTGTTCCCCCTGGAAGTTCTTTGGGCAGTGGCATCGCTGAATGTGAGAGAAGTGCTTGTAAGACACGCATGTTCCTCCATTCAGACAGGTACAGTTTGCTGGAAAACACAAGGTGGGAGAAGAAAGGAGTGTGGGAGGAAGCAGGTGTGGGGGTGGGGGGAAGGTACTGCAGCAGTTAGGGCTGCCCCACCTCCACCCACCTCTACCCAGCCTATTCCCAGATAGATGTCTGCGCAGCCAACTATTGTGCACGGGTCAGATACTCACAGGCACCAGATCTTCGATGATAGCTGCCCTGGAAAAAACGGGGAGGAAAGGGGATAGGTCACCAAAGAGTGCATGCCTCTAGAATAAGCTGGTACCATCCGCAAACCCATTCTTGAGTCCAGCTCCCTCTCGCCCCACCCCGTCTCTACCAGCCTGGCCCTCAAACGGAAGATGATGGGTTTCCAGCAGGGAAACACGGATTGACTCCCAAGCACACTTCACATGCCAGGGATTGCGGGCTGCAGCCGTTTCTGAAGCTTCCTTCTCCCTGACCACATATGGGACCCTCCTTGGTTCTGTCTCTCTGGGACTCTCCCTTGCCCCACCTGTCTGTCCTCTTCCCCCAGGAGGGGCTGGCCACGCTGCCGATGGAATGTGGCGCACTCCAGCTCCCTTCCCCCGTGCGGCTCGGGGGTCCTCCAACCTCCTCCCGTGGCCACAAGTTAAAGCAGAGAGACCACTCACTTGGGAGTCACTAACGAGCAGGGAGCAGAGCAGCAGGCCCGCCAGCTGGGCTCTCATGGTGGCAAGGCTGGGCTTTCACAGCGGCTCTGCAAGGGAAGGAGAAGTCAAGAGAAGCAGCAGGGCGCCAGGGCGGGCCGCTGCGAGCCTGCAGTTCCAAGGAGAGCCGCGGTCACCGGGCCGCCAGGCCCCAGGGTCCCCCCCCGGGGGCCAGACACGAGCACCGGCACACGCGGGGACTCAGCGAGCGGACGCCCGATGGAGGGGCAGGGGCCCGGCCGCCGCCCAGCCCGCCGGCTCCTCGGCGCGGCCCGCACTCACCCGCGGCGGCGGCGGCTAAGGCGCTGGGGCTGGGGGACACTGGACAAACCCCGGGGCTCCGGTCTCGCACTGTGCTGCCCACCGCCCGCGCGGGCTCTATAAGACAGCCCGCTCCGCCCCGCCTCCGCCGGGCACCGCCCCGTCCACGCCCTTTCCTTCCCGGCCCCGCCCCGCGCACCCGCGGGGACCGCGCACGCTGCCCCGCAGCTTCCGCCGCCCGCGCCGAGCGAGCGAGCAGGGTCTGGCCGAGGACTGGAGGGGCGCGGCCTCCCGGCCCTCCTCCCGGGCCCCGGGCCCTGCGCCCCGCCCCGCGGGCAGGAGAGCCCCGGGGGCCAGGGCCTCCGTCCGCTTCCAGGGGCTGCGCTTCTCGCCTGGGACCCCGTTTGCAGCCCGCAGCCCCCAACCCCTGCCCTCAAAAGTGACCCTGCACGGCGCCCCGCCTACGGGCAGACACCGACGCAGGGGCTCCCCATTCCTCAAACACCGTCCACGCATCCGCAACAACACAACTGCTTTAGACAACGCGGAGCTGCTGCTGCTTTTTTCAAATTTCCGCGGTAAGAGAGCTTAGTCATGTCTCCCAGGACAAGGTCAGGTTTAATTGAGAATTTCAAGTTGGTCTAAAAAGCAGGGGCTTGATGAGGGGTGAATCAGTATTGTACTGTGCTATAGTCCTGCGGGTAGGTGGGAACAGAATTGCAGGGCTCCTCTACTGAACAAAAGGAACCCTGGTGGCATAGTGGGTTACGCGTTGGGCTCTTCACCGCTATGTCAGCAGTTCAAAACCACCAGCCCCAACCCAGGAGAAGGATGAGGCGTTCTGCTCCTGCACAGAGTCCCAGTCTCCAAAACGCATAGAGTCCGAACCGACTCCAGGCAGTGAGTTCGGTTTTGGATAATGAGCAATCAACTTTAAGTTGGCTGGGCCAGTGTCCTGGAATAGTAGCATTAGTTAGTATTGCTCTAGATAGTAAGCAAGCTGCGGAAGGATGAAACCATGCCCCTCACCTTGGAGAGCAGCAGTGGGCACCTGGGGGTCCAAGGAAAAGGGAAAGGTTAATTTTCACGGCCTGCTCTTTTACACTGTTTAAGTCTGGTTTTTTTTTTTAACGTTTAAAATTTTCTAAGGGATAATTCAGGAATTTTAAATGCCTCTGCATAGTACCTCTTTGTAGAGCCTTGCCTTGATTGAGAGAAAAAGGCTTGCTTATCAAATAAAGTTAGCTTTCTGAAAAGACAGGCCCTATGTAAATGACTCCACCCACCCTTTGTGTGTGTGTGTGTGTGTGTGTGTGTGTCACACGCAGACAGGGCTCCAGCAGAGTTGCAGGAGCAAAGCAAGAGCTCTGCAGTACAGCAGCCTGTCCCTGTGCCTGTCCCTGTGCCTAGTGTCAGTGTCAGAACCAGAACTGTGGATCACTGGAATGCTACCCGGCTGGATTGGGTCCTTCTGATGGGTAGGGAGAGGATTCTAACTTGTAATTCACTAGGGGCCCAAGGCATGGTCCTTTGCCTTGCCCAGACCTGCAGGTTTTGCTACCTAAAACACCTGGGCTTTGAGTCAGGAGTCACTGGAGAGTGGTTGGGGGGGGGAGGAAGGAGGAAGACCCCTTTGATCCACATCGGTCAGAGGTCTCAGGATGGCAGCCTCTGGGTGAGAAAAGTGCAAGGTAATGGCCCCACTTTCAGGGGGCAAGTGACCCATTGCCCTCTGGGTAGAGTGCCTTTGACCACCTGAGCTGCCACTGCCCCATGGATGGGCTGAGTCAGAGGTGCTCAGAGCTGGCCTCAATGCTTCCTCAAGAAGACTGTGCCGGCTTTATTTGGATTTAGGAGACCATCAATTGTAAATAAACGTGATCATATGTAAACAGAGGTGTTACAGCCTGAGGACTTACCCCGAAACTCTTCAGTTATCAGGAAATTCCCAGCGGCTCTCATGACTCACCGCACTGCTCCAGTGGCTCTCATGACTCCGAATTACTTGGCTGGAGGCTGTCATGCTGAATCTCAAGTACAAGATGACCTCATTTCCTCCTGGACAAAGAGGCTGGAAGACCGCTCTGCTCCTCCCCACCCCCCCACCTCCTCACCCACCTTCACCTGGTTGACCATCTTCATGCTTCCATTTTTTCTGGAACTTCCCTTTCAACTCTGAGGGTCACTGCACTCTGTCTCGGTAGTCATCGTTTTGCTACGCAATCTATGGCAGACTTTACTTCTTTGAGGACAGAGACCACCACTCTCCCCCAGTACTTATTCACATGCCTTATGCACATAATTGTTTTATTATGAATGAATCTTGAATGAGTGGGAACCCTGGGAAGGCTCCCTCCTTCCTGTCTCGGTTTCTTGCCATGAAGAGTCAAACTCCAAAACTCACTGCCCTTGAGTTGATGCTGACTCAGAGTGACCTTTGAGGACAGGGTAGAACTGCCGCTGAGGGTTTGTGAGAAAGTAACACTTTACCAGAGTAGAAAGCCTCGTCTTTTTCCCAGGGGGACACTGGTGATTTTGAACTGCTGACCTTGAAGTTAGCAGCCCAATGAGTAACCACTATGCCACTAAGGTTCCTACCACAAAGAACAGTACCTGCATTATGTCTGTCTTATGCTAAAAAACACATTGGTGTAAACCATTCCACTTTCAACTAAAGACCTTAGGGTATAGTTCAGGATTGTTACTCCTGTTTTGCAATGGAGAAAAGGAGATGGAGTGAAGTTGAAGTGGCTGAGTGGCTGAGACATCAGTAGAAAACAGCTCTTCTGATCTTTGCTCCTGGGCTCCAAAAAGACAAACTCTTGGAAAGAAGAGCCAGGTGATGTAAGACCGTACAGTTCATGGGAGCCCTCCTGCTGGCTTTGGAGACTTCCTTCAAGCTTCTTCCGTAGCCATGGGCTCCGAGTTCCTGGGACGCCTTCACTGTAATCTGAGTTAGCTGCTTGCCTGAGTTCTAGGAACAGTCTTGGTGGGCTAGGCCTAAGCTTCTTAAACTGTGGATCATGACCTCACGCGGGGGGCCACATAACTGAATGTGGGGGTAGGTGGTGCTAAAATTTGGCACCCGTGAAAGCTTGCTGAACTCACAACAATGAAAAAGTAATTTGAAATAAAATTGTGCAATGAATCTGAGTGCTTGCCTATGTTGCAAAGTTCTCAGGTAAAAGGGGGTAACGCAGGCTTTGTAGGCTATCTGAAGTTTATGTGGCGTGTAAGATGATAGGAACTGAGTGGGTATGATTTCATCCTGTTTCCAGCTCCCAGAGCAAAGCCACCAGCTCCTGGGTCTCAGCAGTCCTGACCTCTTGAGCCTCGTGTGGCCACAGACTGACGGAGGAGCCCCATTTTCCAGGAGCTGCTTATCAAAGGGAAAGCAGGTAGCAGGTGCACAGAGGGCTCCTGAAAGGTTCGTTTCTCATCAGCAAGAAGTAAAGGGAAGTTCATGCAAAGTCATAGGATGTTTTTGGTTGCTATACTAAGAATTTTTGGCATGGCTTTATAAAAAGACCCCAGGATATGTCCCTGAGTCTGCTACATCCAAAGAACCTTGGGCCATGGAGTCATTCGGGAAGTGCTCGGGGTGCAGACTATACCAGGTGAAATTGTCAGGGGGGTGACCCAAAATTGACTGTCTATAAAATTTGGGGTAGTGTTTCAGTAGAGATTAATTCTTTTTGAAAAATAACATACCTGTAATTCAGTTTAACAACAAAAACAGTTTTTGCAAACTCAATTTGCATGCATCCATAAACCTACAAGGCTAAAATTCCACTGATTTACTTGTTGAACCTTTCATTGCCCTCTTATCAAAGCTGTCATTACAGGGATGCCTTGAACTGCCTGCTTTTATCTGCACAGGCTACACGCAGGTGCTCCTGCGTCCTTTGCTGGTTTGGTCAAACTTTCTGATGGCTGAGCTATGATAGTGTGGTCAGTAAGACTCGCAAGCCCATATTAACAACCTTTTTTGAGAATGGTGGTAAATAAAAGAACAGGAAGACCAAAACAAAAAATGGTTTTTCCTCAGTTACTAATAATGTAACCAATAATGCTATCATTCAATATAGAAAGTGTTTACAAAACGATTTCATTGTTGGTATTCACATAATCTAAGAAATATTACATTCCAGCAATTTACAACGACATTTATCGTACATTAGTCTGACTAAAGTTGATCATAAGCGTTACCAAGGGTTCTTCCTAGGCTGGTACGAGAAAGGGGTGCCACCATGAGTGGCCACACTAGGTGACGTCAACCCTAGTGACACCGCCACCTTAGGCAAGTCACCCTCTTGATCTTAGTTCCCCCATTTGCACAATGAGGCAAGCTTTACCCTGTCTGTGTCTCATCTTGCAGACTGAGTGAGATCATTCTTTTTTTCTTTTCCTTTTTTAAATTTTTAAT